TGCCTACACCCCCAGCCCCTGGTGGCGGCGGCGGCAGCAGCAGCAAGGCCTTCCAGCTCAAGTCCCGCCTGCTCAGCCCCATCGCCAGCGCCCGCCTGCCCCCTGAGCCAGGGCTGCCTGACAGCTACGGCTTCGACTACCCTTTGGTGAGTGCCTGGCCAGCCCCTGCAGCCCATGTCTCCTGAGGCCAGGTCTTCTTTCATACTGGTACTTCTGCAGTATTGACTGCCTAGCATATGCGCTATGGAGACAGAGCATGTGCCAGATGTGGCCCTACCTAGCAGCCTCTCTCCAGTCTCTGTCCCCGTGTCTGTCCATTCCCAAGCCCTGAACATTCTCACTGCATCTGTCAGTCCGTCTGTTTCTCCCGAAACAGGGCCCAGCCTCCCACCTGTCTCTGTCCACCTCTCTGTTTTGGTTGTGGTCTCTACTCTGGGCAATTTGCTCTCTCTGTGACCCCAACCTGCTCCAGGTCAGAAGGTACACACTGGCCGCTGCAGGCTACCTGTGCTATGTTTGACTCACATGGGGTTTCAGACAATTGAATACCAACACAGGGCACTTGCAGGGACCTACGCTGCCTGGGTTCCCAGCTTGTCGTGAAGACTCCCAGCACCTGACCCCACCAGGTCACCCTCCATGGCAGCAAGGGTGCAGGGACCCCTGGGACGGGACACACATTCCTGCCTCAGCCCCACCCCCCACCCTCACTGCCCCCAGGCTGAGTTTGCCTTTCCAGGCCCAGTGTGGTAGGGACAGCCCTCCCTGACGACCGCTGTGCCACGGATTCAGGCAGGATGCGGCCCAGAAGGCCTCAACCCGCCTTTTCTCCTGCTCACTCAGGACGTGGGGCCTCGGCGGCTCTTCTCCCCTGCACGCGAGCCAGCCCTCGGGCCCCCCGGGCCCAGCCGGCACAAGGTAAGTACTGCCCCATGTCCCTGCTGGGTGTGGTGGCAGCTGTTGCCTCCCCTAGCGGTCTGAAACGGCACACATTTTCTTGCTGCCTGCCATTCTGCTGGGTAGGGTGGTGGGCACCCGGCAGCAGCTCTGAGGCTCAGTAGGTCCTGTGGCCTCCCTGGTGACCTGTGGTGCCTCAGCTCTGTGTGTGGCTCATCCTCTGGGGGCCCAGGCCTCTCTAGGAGAGAGGAGGGCAGCGCCCATGTGCCAGCACCCTTCAGCCCCACTGGCCAGAGCTCGTCATGGCAAAGCCCAGCCATCTGGAGGGCCCCACCTGGTGCATGAGTGCTACACTGTCTGCCTTACTTAGCCAACCCCCTCCCTGCAGATGTCCCCCCCACCCAGTGGCTTCAGTGAGCGGAGCAGTGGAGGCGGCGGGGGGCCCCTCTCCCACTTCTACTCGGGCTCGCCCACCTCCTACTTCACCAGCGGCCTGCAGGCTGGCCTCAAGCAAAGCCACCTCAACAAGGTGAGGAGCCCCCCCAGCAAAGACCCCCTGGGACAGCCAGGATTGGGCACCTGCCCCCGGGGCTCAGTGACCCTTGGGGCCAAGGCTGGGTGGTGGCAGAGGTCTGTCTTGCTCAGGGTGGAGTGGAAACAGCCTGTGGTCCTCCCCCACCCCATGCCTGTGCCTGTAACACCAAGAGCTGCCAGTCTTCGGGGCTTTCTGTCACTTCTCCGCCAACAGCCCAGGGTATAGGAGGCATTATGCCCATTTGACAGAGGAGGGAACTGAGGTACCAGGAAATGTAGTGATCTGTCCCCAATCTCATAGCTACGAAGTGGCAGAAGAAAGATTTGAGCCTGAAGCCCCTCCGGGGTGCTTCCTCTGGCCCCAGGGAGTGACCTGTCCCACCCTCTCCTGTTTCTCCCAGGTGGTTGGCTCCTCCCCACTGGGCTCTGGAGAAGGTCTCCTGGGCCTTGGCCCTGGGCCTAATGGTCACAGCCACCTGCTGAAGGTATGGAGAGAGGCGGGGACATGCAGGGCTGGGGGGCCTGGCCCTTGAGTGGCCCCTGACTCACCCCCCTCCCCCTGCCGCCTGTTCTCTGTGTCTAGACCCCACTTGGCGGCCAGAAACGCAGCTTTGCCCACCTGCTGCCCTCACCCGAGCCCAGCCCAGAAGGCAGCTACGTGGGCCAGCACTCACAAGGCCTTGGTGGCCACTACGCTGATTCCTACCTGAAGCGGAAGAGGATCTTCTAAGGGGCTGGAGCCAGAAACGCTCAAGGGCCCACACCACGTGGCTTTTGGGTTTTCTGGTGTTTTGTTTTGTGTCTTTTAAACAACTTTCTTTCGGTAATAGAAAAATCTCTGAAAGACTTTACTGACCAACCAACTGGAGCCCCAGGAGTCCAAGGAGTATGGGGGTCTGGGGGCTTCCCTGTGCCTCCGGCCTGCTCCCGGCACCAAAACCCGGCAGCCTTAAGAGAGAGGGGCCCTGGCCTGCTCTCCCTCCCTCCCCATCTCCTGTCCTCCACCTGTGCCCATCTCTCCGGGAGTCCTCTCCTGCCTCGTCACTCCTGTATTTCGGCCCTTCGAGTGCCTTGGAGGTTTCCCTGACCTCCCGTGAGGGTCAGAGACTGTCCCCCTTTTTTAACTTTGACAATTGACTTTTGTTTCCTTTTCTAATTTTAATTTTTTAAACTCTCCAGGACGCCCCCAACTCTGATTCCTTCCAGGTCTGGCCTGTCTGGGCCTCCATTCCACACTCTTCGGTTTGAAACGGCGCATCCCTTTTCTCTCTTCCTACATCTGCTGCAGGCATGGCTGTCTCCTGCCCCTGCCTGCCCATTCTGGCCTGGACCGCAGCCCCGGGTCCCCAACCCCCTGCCGCCGTCCCCTCCCCTTCTGTTGCCTTAAAGCTGGGCCCCAGGCCCCACTGGCCAGAGCCTCAGACGCCGAGTTCTGGGAGCTCGACTATGGACCAAACAGCTCTGGCCTAGGACTCGGGTCCCCCTACCTGGGGTCTCCACCCTGGGGCCAGTAGAGCCCACCATCCCTTCCTCCCTGGCCTAGGTGAAGAGATGGGCATTTTTGGCCAGTGCCCCTGCTGTCTGTGGGAGACGCACGCTGTGGGCATCTCACTGAGCCTCTGCTGTATCCCCCTTGTTGAAGATTAGCTCCACCCTGGAGCTGGCCTCCTTTCTGCCCAGTGCCAGAAACCAGCACTCCATGCAGATACTCTGCACCTGCCCACCAGCAGGGCCTGTCGCCCTGAGGTGACCCTGGGCCCTGCCCCTGGCCAACTGGGCCACCAGCTTCCTTCCCCTGACCTGACTCTGGGGGCCCACATCCACTTCAGGGGGATGTCCTCCACAATCTCCCCACACAGACCTTTGCTGAATTAAAGTTTGTAAGTAAATGGTTTTAAAGAAATCAGAGCTGGCTGGTTCTTGGGACGGGAGGTCTGGGGAGGCCTTGCAAGTTTAAGTGCGCCCTACCCTACCCTGCGCCTTCCCTCTCTGGTGCCCTCCCAGGGCTCCTCACCGCAGGCCCTAAAGCAAATCGGCGCTGATTTTCGGGTAATTGTGGCCTGTCGTCTCGAGGCTGCGGGACGGCGCATGCGCAACTCCCGGATCACGTGATGCCCGTCATGGCCGCCTCCGTGGGCCGAGGCGGCGTGAATGCGAAGGTTCTCTTACAGGCTGCTAGGAGCACCTGGTGGAGCAAACCCAGGAGCCATCCGGGGTTAGGGGAGGCGACGCCGGCGACAACTAGGAAGTTCCGGGCGACAGGTACCCGAGGCGCCCTGGGCGGGCAGCGTTGACCCGTTGCACGCCGGCAGGGCGAGACGCAGCCGCTCACCCGACTGTGTTTTCCAGGCGCGCGCCCGGAGGAACAGGAGGAGGCTGGCGGCCCCGAACGGCCCGGGGACGTGTGAGTGCAGGGGACCACGTCCCCGTTCCTCGTCCCACGAGGGTCCTCCGCCCCACCTTGCCCTGAAGCTGCATCCCGAGGTCGCCCCTCGGCCTCGCCCTGTCACTGTCCGTCAAGCCTCAACCCCCGACTTCCTCACCCTAGATTCTACCCGAGCCCTGAGGCATCATCCGATTCAGCATTCGAACTCCATCTGTCTCCAGGGTGAACGTGGTGTTCGTGGACCGGTCAGGCCAGCGGATCCCAGTGAGCGGCAGAGTCGGGGACAATGTTCTCCACCTGGCCCAGAGCCACGGGGTGGACCTGGAAGGTAGGAACCGGGCACAGGGAGTTAAGGAGGTCCTCCTTCTCCACGCGTTCACAAAAACACAGATCAGGTTTGCCTTTCCACTGCTTAACTCGCCCATGGTTTCCCACCGAATATGGACCAAAATCCAAGCCCCTCACCCTGGTCTCATTCCTTGCCCAGCTCTTAACGTTTTGTTTTGTTTTGTTTTGTTTGAGTCATGATCCCACTATGTCGTCCAGGCTGAAGTGCAGTGGCACACCATCATGGCTCACTGCAGCCTCAAACTGCTAAGCTAAATGATTCTTCTGCTTCAACCTCCTGAGTAACTGGGACTGCAGGTGCAGACCACCATGCCTGGCTAATTTTTGTAGAGACCAGATCTCACTGTGTTGCCCAGGTTAGTCTGGAACTCCAGGGCTCAAGCAATCCTGCCTTCTTAGCCTCCCAAAGTGCTGGGATTACAGAAGTGAACCACCACGCCCAGCCTGAGCTCTTACCTTCTGATTGAACATTTATTAGAAGACACTAGAACTCCTGCCTTCTGGGAGGTTGTGTTCTCTTTCCCCTCCCTCTTGCTATTTTAGCCACACTAGAATAGTGCTGTTCCTCATCCCAGCTCATTCCTACCTTAGGGCCTTTGCATTTGCTGTTCCCTCTGTCTGAAGTGCATTCCCAGCAAATATTCTGCCTCCCTCTCATCCTTAATCTTTTTTTTTTGGAAAGCAGGATTTATTGATAGAACAGAAAAGCTTCCACAGTGTGAGGGAACCGGAGGGGGTTGCCCCTTTTATTTTTTGAAAAGTCTAACTTTCTTTTTTTTTGGGGGGGGGGAGTTGGAGTCTCACTCTGTCGCCCAGACTGGAGTGCAGTGGC